CGCCTGCCGGCATCTGAACCCCCCCCGCCGCCCCCGTGTCCGCCAAATTTTTCGGGTGGATCGTGTGATCCCCTTCGTCATGGCCTCCATTTCGCCGTACACACTCCGATCCATGACGAAGTTGAAGCCCTCCGATCGCCTGGCCTTTAAAGCAAGCTCGAAGTAGTCCTTCCCGCCGGAGAGGTTCTAGAACTTGTGGACCTTCTTGAATTGATGCATCAAGTTGTCCCATTTCTTCCCGCATTCGACGACCTCCCTCGTCACGCCCATCGTCTGCAACCTCGCCCGCACGTCCTCCCACTTCCACTCCCTCGTTTTCATGCGCGCGAAACTGGTGCCCATGCCGGCGATATACAGATCTTGATCCCTTTTTGCCCTAACGAGTGCGATCGTGTCTCCCACCGACCAGAAATTTCGGATGCCCTCGCCATCGCTCCGGCCAGTGTCGTCATCCATTTTCTTGGTCCGTCGAGTTTTCGTAGCGGGGCCCTTCTTCGCACTCCCTCTGCCGTTCATCGCCTTCCTCCCAAGCGGCCTAATGTCTGGCAAATCGTCGGAGTTGCAATCGCCGTTACCGTCAACGTCGTCACACCCCTGGGCCTCCTCAACAGCCGCTTCATCCCCTTCGTCCACGTGGAGCCATTGCACCCCTCTTGTGATTGTCTCCGTTCCACCTTGATGCAAGGCCTGCTTGCACTCTGCCCACAGCTGCCTGCCGTCGCATTGCACGTCCGCACCTCCCTCACACAAATCCTCCGGCCGCTGCCATCCTCGAGGAGCGCCGGATCCGCTTCGCTACGCAGGTGACAAGCGCATCCGCTCCCGACGTTCAAGCGCACCGACTTCTCCCTTGACGGTCGTCGACGAGTCATTCCGATTACCACCACCTTCACGAAGCGACTGAGGCAGACCGCCATCTCGCGGCCCGCACACACCACCGTGCGTGTTGTTCGCGCAATCCCCACTCGGGTGGGGATTGATGATCCGAGTGTGCGTTGCCGCTGCTCTGCTGCTGCTGGACAACTGGAAGCAGAGATCAACCGCTGCATTGCCCCTCGTTCCGCAGTGAGGTGTAAGACCACGGGGTCTCCACCCGCCTTCCGCCGTACGACTGCGTCGTCGCCCATTCCTGCGTCGAACCACTTCCCAACGACAAAGTCGACGACCTGGCGTCTCCCCCCTCGTTATCTGACGTCGGCAGAGGAATCTCGTGAGAAGGCAAGTGTGCATACAACCTCAGGTCGTACGGCTGCTTCACCACAGACCCCGCACTGCGTTGCCGATTGCTACTCTACCACCACTGCCTACGGACTGGGCTGACCCTTAGGCCTACGAAGAGACAGGAAGAGACTTCCACAAGGGCCCTAAGTAAGTCTAACGGTAACATACTAACCTACTAACACGAAGGTCTATGGCTCAAGTCCTGGCAGCTAACGACCAGACCTACTAACTAACCTACGGGTTTTAGGGACAGGTGACGGGTTCGAATGTCACTCAGCACACAGGGTCAATGTACAGGGTTTAGGCGCAGGTCCAGGGATCAAATCTCAGGGTCTGCAAACGTCGGTTCAACTGGGTGAAGCCGTTTCACGAAAGATAAAACGAGAAATTTAAAATCAGCAGCAACAAAACACAAAGGTATGACGAAAGAACGCGCAGCCAGATACTAACAGAACCAGTGCACACGTATGAAAGCAAACAAGTGTAAACCTGACGACATGCGAAGTTCACCGGCAATTTTGGAAGTGAAATGCAGCGTGCCAAGTGTGATCTAATTAACCATGTTAGTATGCTA